TTAGTGATATAACCCATAAGGACCAGGGTATGGCATATTTTATAATTTTATTTCCCACAGTCTTGTTAGTTGTCATACAACATCTTGTTGGTGTCAAGGACCTGAATATTCCTTCATTGTGTTTTGCATTAGTATACAGGAATGCTTTCCTAAATCCCTGTAATAAACCTTTCCAGTTGACTCACATACTTAACCTCGGATGTATATTAATTACAATTTTAGCTGAATTAATATTAATAGGTATACTGCAGCTCTCTTTTGTTCCTTTTAAAGTCTGTGCTTATTGTTTAATTTTTAGTCTTTCTATTGAGTTAATAGTCTCAAAAGTTGAGCTGGTAAATATAGTTTAACTTGCTGTGATGGTAGTCACCCATTTTTATAATCCACAGCCAAAACAGGCTTTTAGTATTAATATGTTCATCTCCTGCCATTTTAGTATATTGATTAATTTCTTCAATTTCACTATTTCTTGTGTGATATATATATATATATATATATATATATATATATATTTAAATTAACATGGATCTTATATCTGATTTCCATTATTATTATTTGCACTTCATCACTGTGACTCTATTAGCCGTCACTAAAGTGTTCCTCCAATGTTTCCTTCTGGTGTGGAGGTGACTCTGGTTTCTGAAATGCTTTGCCAGCAGAGCTTGGCTCAGGAGTATTACCTTTAGGGGCACTTATGTCAGACACAGTGATTCATACTAAGGCACAGAGGAGTTACCATTTGACTTGTAACCTTGAGTTTTTGACATGAGCAGCCGACTATGTTAAAACTTATACCAGTCTAGCTTCCCAGATTGTTTCAGAGACATTTGTATACTTCTAGTTGACTGTCTGCTTTTTAAATCTTAACCACTAGATGGTAATTTCCTTTTTTGATAGCATGAACCATTCATTCTTTATATCCACCAATTGATAACTCCAAAAATGTTAAGATCATTCCATGCTTAATTTTATTTTTATTCTTTGTTTTTCTTTCCTTCACAAATTAACTCTTTGTCAAAACATAAGTAACAATATTAAGTAAATTTTCTCTGGAAATAAATATTAGACTGAGCTCATACAAAGAAGAAAGATATGTAGCATATAGAATTAAGAATTTCTCTTCACTATTTTCCCCTTGTAATTGTTTATTAACTATAATTGGGTATATTCCAATGATGTTTTGAGTCCTTTACAAATTAGCAAGGAATCTTCACTTTTACCAAATTCTGAAAATCCAATTATATTTCAGTATTACAAGGATTAGCTTTTCAGTTAGGTTCTGTAAATGTTCTCTGTTAGCATAAATATTGATGCCACCTCCAGAAAAAAAAGACTAATCTCATATTTTTAAAAAAATATATATTTTTTCCTGGTAACATGTTAAAACTATTTTTTCAATTGTTTTTTAAGTTCTAAATTCTATCCCTCCATGAACAGTAAGCAATCAGACATAGGTTATACATGTGCAGTCATGTAAAACATTTCCATATTAGTCCTCTTGTATAAAGGACTGAAAAAAGAAAAGGAATGAAAGAAAGAGAAAAATAGCATGCTTCAGTCTGTATTCAAACAATATCAGTTCATACCCAAAGACTATAAAACTGTACATATTCTTTGATCCAGCAATAGCACTACTAGGTCTATATCCCAAAAAGATCATAAAAAAGGAAAAAGGACCCACATGTACAAAAATATTTACAGCAGTTCTTTTTGTGGTGGTCAAGAATTGGAAATTGAGGGGATGCCCATCAGTTGGGGAATGGCTGAACAAGTCATGGTATATGAATGTAGTGGAATACCATTTTTCCATAAGAAATGGTGAGCAGAGAGATTTCAGGAAAAAACCTGGAAAAAGCTTTCATGAACTGATACTGAGTGAAGTGAGCAGAACCAGGAGAACATTGTATGCGTAACGGCAACATTTTGTGATGACTGACTTTGTTAGACTTAGTTCTTCTGAGCAATGCAGTGATCTAAGGCAATCACAAAAGATTCATGATGTAAAATGCTATCCACATTGAGAGAAAGAATTATGGAGTCTGAATGCAGGTCGAAGCATACTATTTGCTCTCTTCTTTTGTTTTGTTTTTTTTCTTGAGATTTTTTTCCTTTTGCTCTGATTCTTCTTTCACAGTGTGTCTAATGTGGAAATATGTTTAATATGATTGTACATGAATAGCCTATATCAGATTGTGTGCCATCTTGGGAAGGGGGGAGGGGGAAAAGTTTAGAACTCAAAACCTTATAAAAGTGAATATTGAACAAGCTCAGAATATGTCTGAGGCTTTACAACATCAAGTTGAAATAGATGCTATGATGCAACAAGAGTTGGATGTTTTAGAGCAGTCAGTGATAGCATTGGGTAGACATATACAACAATTAGAAACGTGCTTCAATTTGAAATGTGATTATCGCTATTCTTTTACCTGAGTGACTCCATATGTGTATTCTAATCTCACCAATATAACAATTGAACAAATATTAAACAAGCTCCAGGGCGCATGGCATTCTGAAAATATTACATGGGAAACTGGACAATTATCTATGATACAACATGAAATAGCTGATTCTCATATTAATAGTAGTGACCCTTAAGATATTGCAAATAAGCTGTTAAATTGGATAAATCAACTCAATCCTTTTAATAATGTATTAAGTTTACTATTACACTTTCTACCTTGGCTATGTTTTGTATTAGTTTTATGCTTCCTACTTCTCTGTCCGCTAAAATGCGCCGGCCACATCCTAGGTGAACTTCATGCATCTGTCCATTATCTCAAGTTAGCACAGAAAAAAGGGGGAAATATAGAAGGCCAGCTCTGAAGAGTCAGAAGATGCAGGCCATGCCAGGTTTTGGCTATAGCATGTCCTATATCTGATGGCTACATAATTCAGGTATGTTGGCTCCCCACCCCCCTGTTCTGTCTCTTGAGAGAAAGGATGCCCTTGGAGATTACAAGGAAGCGAGAAAATGGGACAAGATAACTCCCTGGTTAATGTTCCCATGAGATAAGGAAATGGCCAAGATAATGTTGCAATGAGAAATGTGCTTGTTATTTTGGTCAGTATTCACATGGGAAAAATTCTTGGTGTTGCTTGTTGTTAAAGATATGTAAACTGTGTTGCTTTACTTACTGTTACTTTGGGTGATATTCCCATGAGTCAAAGAAATAAAAACCCTAAACCTCAGATTAATAAATGGAGCTTGTTCTTTACTTGCCTCCCACCTGGCCTGCGTGTTTCTTTCTCTCTTCATACTTGGCTAGAATTTTATCACTGCCCGCGGACGCTGGCATTCGTGGCAGAAAACTGAAATAAATAACTAAAAAATCAGCTCTTTCTCTGGAGGCTGATAGTATGCTTCATCATTAGTCCTTTGGGATTTCCTTGGATCATTGTGTTGCTGAGAATAGCCAAGTCATTCACAGTTCTTCATTGAACGATATCGTTGTTACTATGTACAACAATCTCCTGGTTCTGTTCACTTCACTATGCATCGGTTCGTGTAAGTCTTTCCAGGTTTTTTTTGATGAAATCATCCTGCTTGTCATTTCTTATAACACAATAATATTTGATTACAATCAAATGCCACAGCTTGTTTAGCCATTGTCCAATTGATGGGCAACCTTTGATTTTCAGTTCTTTGCCACCACAAAAAGAGCTGCTATAAATGTTTTTTTGTACAGATAGGTCCTTCCCCCTCCTTTTTTTCCCCCAAAAGATTAGTCTCATATTTACTAATAGAAAATAATAGCTGACATTTGTATGACACTTAAAGTTTTGCAAAATACTTTATAAATACAACTATGTCTTCATAAAGATTGCTTTAAAATCAGTTTCTGAAACATTCATCAAACTAGTGCCTCTTGGAAGTCATACAAGTCATTAATTGTATATATAACTATTCCTTATAAATTCTTTGGATACTGGCTATATGGAGCAGTTAGGTGGGTCAGTGAATAGAGTGCTGGGCCTGGAGTCAGGAGGACCTGAATTCAAATCTCTCCCCAGACAGTTACTAGCTGTGTGACCCTGATCTAGTCACTGAACCCTGTTTGCCTTAGTTTCCTCATCTATACGATGAGCTGGAGAAGGAAATGGCCAACCACTCCAGTATCTTTGCCAAGAAAATGACTGAACAGCAACTTGCAGCAAGCACGGTGATGAACGACAGGGACAGAAACAGAAAAAGCGAGAGACTCCCTGCCCTCAAGGAACTCACTTTCTAATTGAGAGAAACAGCACATTAAGGAAAGTTCTGGTGGAAGGCAATGAAGAGGTCCAGAAATTGTAAGGGGTCAGCAGTAGGGTAGATGATTAAGCCCAGAGAACTTCATGTTACATAAGTAGATCAGGTGACAGTGATGGGGGATTGTGGTGTAGAGGCCGGATAGATGGCAAGGCTTGGGTGGTTCTTCTTTATCAGAAGGCACAGAGTTGTGAGCTGGCAGCCAGCAGGGGTGAATGGGCATGGCTGCCACCAGTGCTGCAGGTATCCCCACTGCCTTGCTATCATAGGTGAGTTCTGGCCTAAAGAGTCATCATCCTGAAGCCAACAGCATAATGAGCTTTTCCAAACGTCAATGAGTGGTTGTTACATGAGAAATATGGGGGGACAGTTCTAGTTTGGTGTAGCTGTCACAGCTTCCATTCCGCTGCTTCTCAAAGAATAATTCAAACCAGTGTGTGGCACTGGAGGAGAATAGTTAAAAATTATCTTATGTTAAAATAACTTTGATTTCTGTAAACTCATACCAACTAACAGTGAGGGGAAAAACATAGGGTAGAAGTCTGCTTCATGGCAGGAGAATCAACATGAAATATGTACTGTAGTGAACCACAAAATTGGTAATTAAAAAGTGATCATCTAATGAACTCTTTTGTCCAATTGAATTGCTATTGATTGCTTATACATATAGTATGTTTATTTGCATTCTCTGATGTTTATTGATAATGATAATACTAATAATAACATCCATATTCTTTGCATTGGATTTTAGGGTGTATTTCCAAGAGACCACTCTCAGCAAATATACCAATTTGTAAAGACCTTCTTAATGGTTCCCGGAGCCATGTGTCTCTGTACCAACGACCAAGAAGTGCAATTTCTAGGCCAACATCCAGAGCTATTTCAGAAATTTCAGAAATTGAATACCTTGATGTAACTGACCAAAATGAACCATTCCTTGAAGATGCTGCCGATCATCAAACATTAGACAGTTTGGAAAGAGAATTAAATACAATGAAGAATCTTTCAGGTAATTTGAATTGATTTGAATTATATATATATTATATTATTTATATATATTATATATATAATATAATATAGATTATATTATATAGATTATATAGTGCATTCGTTTGGATTTCAACCTTCCTTGCTCCAGGATGGGGGAAAAGTCTTCCTTTTGGCCTTTCTCCATTTTGAGCCACTACCCTATATTGTTCTTCTCTCTGACATGCTCTTCTAAGCCCTTGGAGGTAGTGGGAGATGTAAAAGTAGTAATAGAGCTTCCCTTGATGTACCATTGGCACAATGGCCAATAATTGGGCTGCACCTTCACCAAATCTGCGTAGTAGACTCAATAGATAGTGAAAGAATTGCACTGAAATCCACTCTTTTGATGGGCCAATGAGAAAATATTCTTTCCCTTCCCAAAAGCCCGTAGAGGTTTATCTTTCTAAAAAGAGAAAAGGGTAGAATCTACAAAATCTTGCAGGTTATTATTGTTATTGTTTTTGTTATAATATTTTGTTATAATATTGTTATTATTTCAAACAAAGATTATATTTCATTCTGTCTGATTATGTACCTTTGTGACACTAAGAAGGGTAGGAAATCCTGTTAATTCCTAAAATGTTTAAATCACCTGCGTGTATGGTTATTCTCTCTGTTACTTTCCTATGTGGCCAGAGAGGTAGTGTAGAAATATGTTGGGAAGTTGTAGAGCTGCCATTTACACTCTGTAAGGAGAGTACCCTTATGGGCATAGCCAGAATGGCCTAGGAAGTGAAAACATTGCATGAAACTACTCTCTTCTGACTGATGTAGGAGAAAATACTATTTCACTTTTTTTAAACCATAAGGTTTATGGGCCTGAGAAAGGGGGAAGGAAAGGGATATTTAAATATATAGATCAGTAATTTTGACTTAATTTCCTGGTAGAATTATAGGACTTAATGAAAGAATGGTTTGTTAATATTTTAAAAGGGAAGTGAAGATTACTAAGAGCCCTATGACTCTACTAAGCCAGCTAGATCTGATTTTTCTCAACATGCCATCCACAGGTTGTTTTCTTCTTTGACAGGGAATGTTTATTGTGTAGTTTATCTAGACTTTAGGATGGCATTGGACAAAGTCTCAAGCTATCTTTGTGACAAGGATGGAAAAGAGGTGACTCAAGAACACATAGTTGGATTTGGAATTGCTTGAATGTTTGGACTGGAAAACTAGTTATTAATGGGCCAATGTTAACTTGGAATAAGGTGTCCAATAGAGGGAACCAAGGATCTCTCTCTGCTCCTGTTCTATTCACCATTTTTATGAATTATTTGAAGAAATAAATCACATCTTTATCAGATTCTCAGATGACCAACTTAGGAGGGATAACAAACATCATAAATAATAAGATACAAAAAAGCTCAACAGATCAGAATCAGCCATGTCTAATGAGATAAAATCTAATAAATATAAACATAACACTCTACTCTTGGGCTCAAGAAATTAACTTCACAAGTACAATGAGGGAGAGATGTAGCTAGATAACACTTCATCTGAAAAAATTGAGTTTTGATTTCTGGCAGTATAAATATGAGTTAATAAGAACCTAGTATAATTATAGATTATATTAAGAGAGATATAATGTCAAACAGAAGGGAATTGAGTATTTGAAGGGTTTCTGGACCTTCTCTGGTTAGAGGCCATAAGTGGCATTGTGCTCAGTCTCAGTTTCCACATTTTAGGAGTAATGTTGGTGAGTTGGAGAACATTCCAAGGAAGTTTCCTGAAGGACATGAAGACCATGCTACGTGAAGCTCCGACCTAGGCCCTCTTGTCTTCTCTCTTTCTACTCCCTCCTAGTGGCCCCATCAGTTTCTTTATTCTTTCTATACTGATGACTCCCAGATGTGTGTATCCATCCCTAGCCTTTGTCCTGAGTTCCAACTGTGCATTATAGACTTCCTCTATTATTTATTTTTAATTGGATGCCCCAAAGGCATTTCAAACGCAATATGTCTAAACAGAATTTGTTGTTTTTGCACAAGTCCACCTCTTTTCTCAAACTTCTTCCTTACTCTTGAGGCTATCATCTTTTCAGACTTCCAGGTTCCCAACCTCAGTGTAATCCTTCTCCCTCTCAAGACATATCCAAATCAGTTGCCACATCTTGTCTTTTCTCCTGCCATAACATCTCTTGAGTCCATCTCCTTTCCACTGATATAGCCAACTGTACAAGGTCAGCTCCTAAGTGACTGTCACCTAGACTAATGCAGTAGTTTCCCATTGCATTGGGCAGCCTGAGGTCTCTCCTTAACTCTGATCCATGAGCCACTGAATTGCCAAAATAGCCTTCCTAAAAGCACAAGGATATCCAAATCACTCTCCTTTCCAATGAATTCTTTTGGTTTCCTCATCATTCTTTGTGCAACAGTAACCTTCTCTGTTTGGCATTTAAGCCCTTCACCACCTGGCCCAAAACTACCTTTCCAGCCTTATTACATATTCCTCCACATGTCCACCATGGTTCATCCGAACTGGCCTCTTTCCTATTTCTCATCTGTGGTCTACCATCTCCTTATATAGCTTTTTATATAGCTGTCCTTCTTGCCTGAAATTCATTCCCTCTGCACCTCTACCTCTTAGAATCCCAGCTTTCCTTAAACACTCAGCTCACACACCATTCAACTTCTAGTGCTATCCCCCTATAGTTATCTTCTATATTTATATATACCTATGCTTGTTTTTGTGTCTCTCTTGAATAGATTATAAGCTCCTTCAGAGCAGGGACTGAACCAAATTTTCTTCTATTTCTTATGGAAAGGGGATCACACTTGTTCCTTTTGGCAAAAGAGGCCAGAATTAGGAGCAATGATAGCCATTTCAGAAAGGCACATGTGACTGCCATGCAAATAGCATATCTTTGACAATTAAAACTGTCCCAAAGAGGGATGGAAATAATAAGTTCCCCTAAAATGAGAAGTCCTTGAGCTCCTGATGAGTGCCAGCTTCTTGGTAGTGCTGTGATGAGCATCCTGGATAAGGATGGATTGGCCTAGAGCATTTCTGAGGTTCCCTCAAGCTTTATAACTGGGATGATCATGCTATTAGCTTCCTTACCTTTTACAAAAGCCTCCTCTAGCATGCATCTGCTGGAGTGTTGCATTTTTTCTTTCGAGCATTTAAACTTAAGGCATTATGTTTTCCCAAAGTCCATGAATACAGTCTAGTAAACCATACTCATACTCCTGAGTACACAGGATTGTTTTTTGTAACAAAGCAATTAAGCAAACAAGAGCCCAGGGAAAAGATCTTATTTTCCTTTGAAGTTAGAATGTCCTTTACTACACCCTATAGAACTTAGAAGCAACCTGCACATACACAAGAAGTCCCCCAAACTCCTTTCCTCTTTTGACCATGAATCTCATACTACATATTCTGGTTGAAGTTCACAGTCCTCTAATGTTTAATAAGTTTCCATAAATTAAAGACTCTAAAAGGAAGTTTTGTAGTAATCAGCATCTCAGAGGCCAGGTGGTAAAATTTATACAAGGAAATAACCATCTGGTATGCAAAGGAAATATCTACATACATATGTACAGGAAGATAACGCGTGCCAAGCTAGTTAAGGTCCTCTTTTTGTAATCCATTCATTAGGAAATGATCAAAACATTCTTTTAACGTGTGCATACACTCGTCAGTAATGGGGATAATGGCCTCGAAGAAATAGACTACTATCTCTGCTATCTTTTTTAAGTTCTTCTTCAACAGTGTTGTTTATGTTAATGTAGAGCTATCAGTTTTCTGCTTGGGAAATTGGCAAGTTCCCCATTAAATCATTAACAGCCTACATTTATATCTCTATTTTAAGATGTACTTGATGCTTTTCTGACAGCAACCTTGTGAAATGTAAACATTCTAAATTCAATTCAAGTTAATAAACATGTATTAATCACTTACCATACCCAGACCACTGTATTAGGCCCTGAGGATACATACTGTCCCTGCCTTCAGGGGACTTAATATTCAATAAGTTCATTTGTTACCTGGATTCATAAAATTCAGGAGTTTTCAAAGGAGTTGTACTTTCCTATGCCAAGGCTTTTTGTTGACTGCTATTTTTCTAAATTCCATTTATTAATTATATCTGTAATTCAGACATGAATGCAGTGACACAGTCACATTATCATACATACACATGTAATGACAGATACACTCAGGCAAGTTCCAATTATGGAATGCAGATCTCATGAAAAAACAAAACAAAACCCCAAACAAACACTCAAAAGCTTACTTATTGCTTTGTATCATATCAAGGTGTTATTTATTAGATGGCAGAATGAATAAAACTTCACCAGGGCTGATCCCCCTCTCTGGTGCCTGTGCTAGGTTTGAGGCTATGCTAGCTAAGTCTAAAAAAACTATTCATTGATCTTGGTCTGAAGGCCAAGACTTTGTTTAGATTACAGCAAAATTTGTTCACTCATACACATAGATATATGTGTATATGTGTATGAGTAAAAAATTATATAAGACTGTGTATTTATATACATGCATGTATGATTATGTGTATAGATACATGTAGGCATACATGCATTGTGTCTGTGCAGATATGTAGATAGACATGTTTGTGTGTATATATATATATGTATACACATATATATAATGAACTCTTGAAGTATCAAATGTAGTTAGTCCTCTTTGAACAACAAGTCAGTTTAACCTCTCTGGCCCTCAGTTTCCTTATGTGTAAAATGAAAAAGTTGGGATTCTCTAAGATTACTTCCAAGTTTATGATCCCCTGAATGATTTAATTCCCTTCCCCCACTACTTTTTTATGAAAGCAATTTTCAAAGTCTCAGTTTCTGATCCATAGCAAATTGGACCAGACATTTTTCTATCATAATTCCTCCTTGGTTAAAAAAATCAAAGAAGAAAACCACTCAATATGTACCTTAATGTGCCAACATAAGCCCATTTCTCTTTCATAGAAAACATTTCTGTCAGTAGCTTTCTCATCTTATTTTCTGTTAGCCCTAG